AAAAAAAAAAAAAAAAAAAGTGCTTTTTGCAGGCAATGCTGGCCTGCGCAGGGGATCGTGCTATCCTGCTTTAAAGACATGTTGTTGAGGGTTGTGCGAAGATGTGGAATGGCCGAAGCACTGGCCTGCGTGGGTTATTTTGGATTTGTCGGCAAGAGCTGACTCTAAGTCGTTTTTGGATGTGGCCGTCGCGCGGAGTAGTTTAGGGCGGGAAGAGGGAACAAAAGGTCAGGACATTGACAGTGTGCCGCGTACCGCAAATGGCAGTATTTCGCGCGCTCGGAGGGTTGCAGACAAGTCTGGTGACATACGCATTCACTAAAATGCTGATTGGGCCAGTGACCTTTGCCGTCACGTACGACTACTAAAAAATCTCTGATTTCGGAACGTAGGGAGGCTGTGGTAGTATGATGATCCTGATGCGTTCGAATATATGTATGTTACTATGGTGTGGGCAGGAATGCTCTGGGAATTGCATGCGCATGAATATGAATGTTGTTATGGTTTGCCATGGTTTGCGTACGCGTGGGCCTGGTAATCGAATGCCCTCGACTCTGGATGCGGTCTAGGTTTTCTGCAACGCAGGCAAGAGGCCTCGCAAGCAATGCCTCGTTTGGCTCTGTTGCCAAGGTCCGTGCAGAAGCGTATGAAAATCAACACAAACGCGAAACCTGTGAAAAGTGCAGTGATCCAGCCCCTTGGACAGTCCACATGTCGAAAACGTTCCACGTTTTACAGTGTTTCGTGGGTCTTCAAAACAAACTCAAAATGCGCGTTCACAGGTCGATTGGCAGGCTAACCCGAACCGGTGCGGTTGCCATTGGACATACCAGATCCTGCCAGGATACGCCATAGCTCAGCCTGCCCAAAACAGCCACATGGCCGTCCCCGAATGAAGGCATCCGTTTCTCTGGCCGGAAGCGGTCCCAACCGACAATTCTGAACGGAGGGCTACGGGAGCCACCAGGACACCCTAAGGACAGATCAGCATAGCTGGGCTCAAAACTACAAGCTTGTCGGATCAAGAAATTGCTTAAGACGTTAGGTGCAGAATCTGCACTGTTCAGAACTATCGCAGACGGGAACACCAAATCTTCATTTGCAGCTCTAAGATGTGCCAGGCGGGAGGGAGAACTGCCCTGCAACGCTTAGACACAGGCAGATGGTTTTAGGAGGCGTTGGGTTTTCAGATTTTGGCTGCTTTAAGAGGTCAAGAATGTTCAGCGCCGGCTTTAGGGTGTGTTGGCTTCGGGCCTTGAGGGTTGAAAGGCTGGAGAGTTTGCCATGTTCTGCTTGAGCATTGTAGCGTCTGAGGTCTCTACTGTTCTGAAATAAAGGTTTAGGCCTGGCTGTCAGACCTGTTCCTTGCTATGCTTCTACCTGGAAAAAACAGAATTCGAAGACCAAGGAAAATGTTGGGAAGATACTGCAACCGCACTCAAGCCATGAGCCAGGCAGGGAACAAGTGCCTCCAAGGCACGAAAGCTGGGAGCTTGAAGAAAACCAGTGTCTTGCCCACCGCCCACGACAGTCCGTGCCTGCGAAGCAAAAATCATCGAGTGGGCAGCTGCCATGAAGATCTGCGCTTTGCATATTTCATGGTGTTATCGAGGCCTCCCCGCTCAATGGGCCCTCACATATCAAGGTCTTATTGCGGACTCTGTCGTATTAGCTTGGCATGTCAAGGCTCATTAGGCCTTATCAGTTTGAGTGCGTTTTGTCTGAGACCATAGAAGCCCTATGAGCGTTGGCCGCAAAGATGACTGTGAGGTGGCTAGACCTCTCGGCTCAGTGTCCAGCTTTGGCTTCGGTATGTTGAGTTCTGCATCCAGATGCTCCAGCAACTTCTGGGCCTTCGGTCCAAGGCCAAAGAAACATGCGCGGCCCTCCACTTCCCCATGTAGGGGCGTATGAAATGCTTAGCTAGGAGCTCGAATCTTGGGATCCTGCTTTTTCACATAAAAAGGGAAGGCAGCAGATGGATTCTATTCACAGCTGCAGCAATCCTAGCAAAGTTCTGCTGGGTCCTGTAGGTGGCGCAGCTCGGACACCACCTTCTGGGAGCCCACCACCTTGTAGTCATCCCAGCACTCCTTGCGCATCAGTTGGCGCAAGCTTCCTGTTGGTCGATGAGCAGCTATCTTCCCAAGTCCTGATGGTTGATTCGAACGGGGTAGCCTGCTCGGCCTCAGTGGAGCATGGGCATCGCACGCGCTGGCTTCACACGGCCGCCGCAGAATTTTCTTTGAGCAGAGCCAAGCCTCTTCGGCTATAGGTAATTATACAGCAACTTCAGGTCATGCTTTATTTTCACTCATCTTTGAGAGCATTCTCCGCCATTGTTTTGATACCTTCCAGCTGTTCTGCCCAATGTCTCATCAAAAAGTGGGCTTTCCATGGCTCGCCTCTTTCTTGCAGCGCATGCTTACACACTTGGTCTCCAGCTGACTTGGACAACTTGCAGGACACCGCCATAACGCAGCTGCTCCGTGACACCCTGAGGCAGTTTGCTCTGCTGCAAACGCAAGGCAGCCAGGCCCACACAAAGCTGTAAGGCAGGAATGCGCGAAAGCCTTCCTGTCGAAAAGGTCTGGCAAGTTCTGCGGATTTGGCTTAATGCCTGAGCGCAAGAAGAAGAGCAATCTGTACCCAGAGTCGCAGGGAAATCTGCTGCACTTGCATCTGACACACCCAGCGAGGCCATAGAGACCAAGAAGCATCGAATGAAGTGTGGCTCTGTCAAGTCCACCACATCCTGCAGCTTCTGCACGCCAGTATGACACGGATGGACGGTGATCAACTACTGTGTCTTGGACACCTAAGGCAAAGGCCATCAAGCTCGAGAGCTGCTCCTTGAATTCGGACGAGACCTATCAGACTCGCTAAATTCAAGGCCTGTTTCATGTCTACGGATCAAACCTTTCTCTAAGATTCCAGCGGTGTACTTTTTTTTCTTGCCGCCCTTGGGCTGGTCCTTCGCATTGGGCATGTCGAGAGCATTCGTCCATTCCAAAATGCCATGAGGTGTGCGCGGCCCCCTTTTTTGCTACCGAAGCAGCCACGGATCTGGAGAGTGAAACAGAAGGCCTTTGCATCCACCAGTGGCCACTCACTCCAGCAATTGAGATGAAGCTGGCCTCGATCGGCTTGAGTCGTGTGCACCCTGGCTTTGCATTTCTTCCCGCGCGATCATTTCTCGAAGCGCTGCATCATGCCGTCTGGTGGGCGATGGCAGAAGATAGTCTGTAACGTTTAAGATCTCCGGGTGCTCTGCAATCTCCCTAGGGGTTGCACACATCATGACAGGCACATTGATTCGGTGGAGGGATCGGCAGTACAAAACAGGGTCTGCGCAAAGGATCATGTCGTAATGCTTTGAGGCAGTTGAGATGACTTTCTCATCAACAACTCCAGTGTCGAAGTCTATCCCTTCAAAACGGCCCTTCCAATCAATGCCGAACTGGTTCTTGTTGCCCAGAATCAAGACCTTAGCGCTGTTGTTCTTCAGTTGTTTCATCAATTTGAAAGCCCGTTTGTAGTGCATTAACATCGAGTATGGATCCATCAGGTAGGACTTGGTGATCTTGTTGGCCACACGCTGCATGATGGGATTGGGCTCTCACCAGCGCAGCAGCGCCCCTAAAGCTACCGCCTCCTCCTGAGCCACTGCCGCAAATTATGTATAATCAAGCTTGGGCTCGTCCAACGTCATGCAAACATAGCAGGGAGCACGTGCAACGAATCTGAAACTCTAGCACGGGACACAGTGCCACAAAGCGCTCAGAACACCAACAGAGAATGGATCCTAGCGCAACTATCAACACCCAGCCAAACGCAGCCGACACTTCGCGGTGTCCACGGTGCCTAGTAGGCACGCAGCGTCCTCCTCCTTGGCAAACGCCTCCGCGAACTTGGGATCCTTGCGGAAGAGGTTTGCAACAAACCTCAGATGAACAGATGTGGCCAAATGTCTGAGCCCAGTGAGGCATCCTAAACAACACAGGCCACCATACATCTCCGTGCTGCTCAGCAGGCAGCAAATTTACTGAGCAAGTAGCTGGTTGGAGCTGTTGCCGACGCACTCGATCAAATCCTGGCCCAGCACAGCAGTTGAAGTAGGCACTCCCAAACCAACGGCTCCAACTTGCTGACACAAAGTAAATGCAAGCCATATGCAGGAACCCTCTTCCAACTCCAAACTGTCGTGACCCCAAGCTGCATTTTGTCCGATTGCCGAATCCAGTCGGCTACCAGGCCCACAAAGTGAAATTGCGCTCCTTGCCTTCTACATCTTTGAGAAGGGAAGCTGAGTTCCAGCGTGCTTGAATGCCACGGTTGTCATCTTGCAGCTTCAGGCTCACATGTCTCCTTCGAGCTCGTCAAGGAGATCGAGGATACCTTCTGCATCAGGGTGCGGCATGTCACAAAGGTCATCAGAAGGGGCTTCTTGCGCGTTTGTGGGCGGGCTGACAGGTCCCTCGGCTTTCCCGGGCTCGGATCGCGGTGATGTCACTGCTTGTTTTGAAGAGCTCGGGGATGCAGGGCGCACTGAATCAGACTCGGGGGAGTCCTGAACACAAGGGCTAGGTGGCACAGATCCTGATCTCCTAGCAGGTCGGGGCCTAGTGCGAGTGGTACCTGGCAATTGAAACGGGCTTGGAGGCGGTACAAGAGGCCTGCGAGGGGAGCCCTGCCGCCGCACCTTCAATGGAGGCTCTCCCGACTCCCTTGGCGGGACAATCTTCGGAGGCTTTTCGGTGCGCCGCTTGCCAAACCCAGCTGGGACAAAGTCCGCGTTGCTGCCAGCAGTGTCAGTAAAGCCAGCTCTGAATTTATGCGAAGCTGCGAGGGCTTTGGGACGCCACCGCCTGATCCTTGAGACTTTGCTGTCCACGTCACGTCTCAGAAATGCCTGTGGTGCCAAACCTCGCTTCTTAGCTTTTGGCTCGCTATGTCTTGCCAAGGCATCTTGCCAGTACTTCTCCTCTTCTTCTGGACTCAGAACTTCCGCAGTAGGCTTATGGCATCCAAGCAAACGTCCTGTGAGTTTCATGTCTTCCAAAAGCCGCACGCAATCTCCTGGACACAGAAGCCTAACATGGGCGACAGTACTGTTTGTGATATAGTCACAGTATGCTACTGTCACGGCATGCTCCACGTACTGCCGAATGCAAAGGACGTTCTCCGCCTCAGAAAACCCAGCTAGCTTCACAAGGCATCCAGGTATCTCGGTCCCCCTAGGCCTGCGTGCACAGGAAGGCTTTGCAGATTCCGTGGGCGAAACATCTTGGCTTGACTGCGATGGCTCAGCATTTGCTGAGCCCGCATGGCCCTGAGATGGCACCTCTTCTCGTGGAGCACCTCGCCTGGTGAAAGTTGTCTGGAACGACGGGCCTTTGACAGCTTTGTAGAGCTCATTGTACTCACCTGCACAGAACCACACGAACAGCAATGACCATATGTATGTAACTGCTCCCATCTCTGCATAACAAAGAAGAGCATTTCTGTGTTTTTGCAAGCTTTTGCAGCTTAGTGTCGGCGCTCCCGCAGCCAGTCGGCTTTGTACATAAGCTGCAAGGTCTTCCCATCGTGGCGCTGCGGCCATGTCGAGGGCCATGAACCGTTGCAGGCAGACCGCGCCGTTTCAGCATCCTGGCAAAATTCTTTGCTTCCAAATGAAGGCGTGCAAGCAGCTGAACTTGAAAACCCTCACTCACTGTGTTCAGAAATGACACTGGCGATCCGAGCTGTCACCCAGTCGGATGTCTGAGATTAGCAGTTGTGCTGTCCAGCTGCTTCTTCGAGTCAAATGACCAAACAGATCACTGGCTCTTTTTGGGCTCCAACCACTTTGCAGCAAGCGCTGATCAAGTTTGAGGTAAGACAGCCGCCGCAGCCCTTCACTTTTCTATTAAGCCGGAGAACCTAGATACAAAAGTTGGCAAAGAGAGCACATAACACCATGGCATGAGCAGGTGATCTTGGACTAGATGTCCCCGTCAGCATTGAAGAAGACCCTTCAAGTCGCAAGACACAAATTGGCAATAAGGTGGCCTCGTGTTTGCAGCAAGAGAGGGCAAGAGATTGTCTGCATGCTCTATTTGGCCTGAGACTTTCCATCGAAAACATGAGTCGAACTGTCTGCTGTCCGTTGTACGTGATCTAATGCTTTGCCGTAGCAGCATGGTGACATAGCGAGAAAGGCAGGGCTTAGACGCCTTCAGCGAGGATGCCCAAAACAGGCTTCAGCAATTCCGGAAGATTATTGTTGTTGATTTGTGCTTGTCATTGCTGAGGCTCTGTAAGCCTCTGGTCCGAACACAGAATACTGGTGATATCTGGTGGTTATGTGTCTCGTTACACGGCTCATGAAGTTGTCGGAGGGCCCTTCTCCGAAGTGGCGGGAATAGGAATACCTGGCGCAAAAAAAAAAAAAAATTAACCACCTCTCAACAAACACCATCGCGTTGTCTTGGCAAAAGTAACTTGTTGCAGGGAGCAAGGCTGAATTTCTGGTGCCGGTTGACTGCTCCCGCTCTCAATGCACTACATACGCTGAGGGGCAAGCTGCCTTGCACAAGTCACAAACGAAAATGTTTTTTTCAACTGCTAACTCAAACCAGGAACTAGAAACTAGTGAGCTTCGGCTCTGGTATCCCAAAGTTCGAGCCTATCAAGTGTTGAAAGTCCAAAGCATTGCATTCCGCACAATCCGCGCAATGTCATGCAGACAGGTAATTGTGAGCAGTGCTCAGTGCTAGTAGAGCTACTGCTCTCCTTCACGGACTCAAACTCCACCAAGCAGAAGCCGCGAGGCTCACCAGTTTCGCGGTGATGCGGTATCTGCACAAACTTCACCTCACACCCAGGCTATGCAACATGAAACTCGAACGAGAGGATAAACTGTTCCCACGCATTCCGCTGCCCCTACCTCCCCATACTGTGAAAAGAACTTCTCAATGTCACGGATGCCAAAGGTTATGGGCAAACCTGCGGTCAGAATTTGCCAATCACATCACTTCAGTCAAAATCGCATCACGGACAGCATGAGTTGCCTCCACCTACGCACGCAGGTGCAGTTCCAAAACACTGCTACTACGCACAAAGAACATAGCGTTCATGCTTTGGAGGTGCAGCCCAAACCCAGTTTGCCTTCCGCATAAAGGGTCCTGTTCACCGGGTCGTGGGTGTCCTGTGGGAACTTCTCGAAATCTCGCCTGCTCCCATGCAGAATTCTGTCTTGCGATGCTGCCAGGCACACACAGGTACGCAAACGCGTGCCTGACTTGAGTGCATTCAGCGTTCAGCTGCAACAGCTCAGACGCATGGACTGCATCAACAAGTTGGCCAACGTCAGAAACGCCCAATGCCTGTTCAGCGCATGATCTGCACTTTTCTTGACTCAAGGCCGGTTTTTCCGAGTTGTGTTCATGCTGCAAGCCTTGATCCGGTTGAATGTCAAGAGAAGCGAGAGGTCCAAATACCCACCATTACCATCCAGAGTCTGCTTCATGAAGCGGTCCCGGCGCAAATTCGAATCACTGAAATAAAAGTCCTTACTTGCTTCTGGAGTCTGGATCCACGAACACTTTCACTTGTTGCATAGCTACTCGCCCTCTCCTGGCTTTGAACTCGAAACCAACTCAGAGATGTCAAGTTTCGAGTTGCCTTCGGACTTTATCAAGCGAGAAGCTGGCTTCCTCTTTGCCTCGACAAGGGAGTTTGCTCCAGCATTCGCTAATGGCTGTTGATGGTCCCGCCACCTGAGACGCGGGCTACGAACATCTTCCTTTTCAGGCTCCTTTGGCTTCTCTTTCTTCCGTCGCTTGTGACCCTGTTTGGCACCACCTTTGGCGCCACCATCCTGACAAGAAAAAGGAACAGAGCCCAACAACACTACATCAGAGAAGTTAGATGAAGTCATTATTGAAAGCAGCTTCTCTGTCCTGTTTCGGGCGAGCTTGTGAGGAGGCCCGGTCCTGCAAAGGACAGTTAGCGACAATCCTGCCAAGAACAGAACCAATCAACAAAGCGTATCGCACCAGCCTTGCTCGACTCAACATTGGCGGGACCATCACTGGCATTACCTTTGCGACGCTTGTGGCGGTTCCGCTTGGCCATGAAAGGCAGAGGAACCAGCTCGACGTGTAGCACCTAGGGGCCACCGCCCCGAAAGCATAATTAGCTCCAATACTGGTGAGATTCAGTGCATTCCAGCTGGTAGCAGCGAACAACTTAAGGGCAACGTGCATGTCCCCTGCATATGTGCTGACCTGTGTTCACCTCCTGTACTTGCTGATGCGAAGTCATTAACCTGAGTGAAACTCACAAGTCAATCCTCTGCTTGTCGGCATTGAACCCGAAGCTGCGGGTTGGCACTGATCGCAGGTTTTCCGACGCACATCGCACAATCCATTTAGAGTATAGAGCAAGCAGCCTGCATTTGTCGGCTGTGAGTGTGCAAGTGTGACAGCTGGACGTTGCTTAGCTGGTCTCGGTTCTTGTCCAGAAAGGAGTCGGTGCAGTAGCTGACAGGTCCGGCCTGCCATGGCACTTCCATCAATCTGCGTGCTTGTGGCCGAAGAGCAGTTGCTGAACAGGGATCACTGCGGATGGAGGAAGTGATCCAATCGATTGATGTTCACATCACAAGTCGTGGAAGGAGCACGAAGTGTTTTATCACAAACCTCAGGTGATGCTTTCATCTAAATGCAGCAACGCATTTTGACAGGCTGACTTCTATGCATTCCGAAGTTTGGCTTTAAGCAAGGCTCCAAGTTGGCTTTGTCTTGATCTCGTCGAACCTGCGGTGGCCTTTTGATGGCACGCACAGATTCTTCTTGCGTCGTCCGCAGACCACTTGCAACAAGGTCAAGCTTAAGGAGCAAACCCTTGTGCTGCTTGATCAGCTTGTTGCAATAACCTAGCGCTGGGGACGAACAGGACCGTACATGAAGCAAGGTGGTGCCTTGCTGCATTGCAACCATGCACTTATAACAAGCGAACACCAGTGTCTTTTCCACGCTTGCATCTGCCTTTGTATCACATTACAACCACTACGCAACGCACTGCCAGGCTTGACGAGCATTGGCCACTCGTGACACTCAAGATTGTGGCTGTAACGCCATGACTTAGCACAAAATCCCATCAAGTCCGGTAGCTGGCACAGCCGTCTAAAAGCCTGGTCCACCTCCAGGCCCTTCTGAATTGTTAGCACAACAGTCAGGAGCATATAGCAAACACATAGAGGTCACCGGCACAAGAGCAGCTGAAGTGAGAAAGGGCAGCGCTGCTTGACCGCACTGGCCACTTGCACAAGGGTGCGCAATACAAAATGTCCCGGCCATCAGAACGCCGCATCCAGTGGTCGATTGAAACCACCACGACGGTTCATGTACTGACGGTATTGGCCTCAGAAAATTTCGTGAGTCGGTCCAAATGCAGGAAAGCTTGAAAAACACAGCTGGTTGCAATGAAGGCACGTTTCGTGGCCCGCTTCACATCACTGAGATCGCTTGTGCCTGCACATTACCAGCCATGACGCCTTGACCCGCTCCTTGATTCCATCTGCTGAGATCCTCACTGTGATCTCTGCCCTTGGAGCTGTCAAACGCGCTGAAGCCCATCATCTTCGACAGCATCTGATCCTTTCATGTGACACTTCAAGCGACCTTCACGTGTCAGTGTTGTCCCGAATGCCCCAACCCACATGATTTCCATCAAGCCCTGGCCCTCCTCAGGCATGTCGGTGCTCAGCAGGAACTCTTTCATCTCCTTCCAGTCACATATCTGAAGCCATCACATCCATGCCCATCTGTTTAATCTGGCATACCTAGAACCAGGCCATAGATTGCAGAACAACCTGCCCTCCTCTTCATCATCTGACGACTTTGACTCTGAGCCCTCCGACTCAGAACCTGCATTTGAGTGTAAACCACCAGCTATCACTTGGCAACGGCTTGACTTGGCGCATCCAAGTGGCGGCCCCGTTTTGGGGGTGGCTTTCGCTCGGCAGACCTGTCCTTGCGCCGCTCCTTGCTACGGCCACGGCTGCGTGCGCGCTCCTGCTCCCGGGATGCCCAACAGGCAACCTTCTTTTTGATAACAAATGCCTGTCGGCAGGAACCGTGTCAAACAGAATTACAGCGCACCTTTCTTTTGTCATCCTTTCGAGTCTTCTTCTCCTTGTCCCCAATGCAAAATCCGCACTGGCAACTGCAGTAACACGCGAACAAACAACTCGCCGTCGCCTTCACTCGTCGGTCGCTCTCCGAGCTTTCTGAAGAGTCACGCCCCTTACGCCCCATCTCCAGGCGGTGAGGTCACCTGAACCACTGAAGTCTTGCCATATTGCGAATTGGTTCGATGCTTGCAGTGTTGTCTCTTAATGCCTTAAACCTGAATTGGCAGCATGGCACGAAGAGCCAGACAACGTGAGAAACCTGCACTCTTGTGACCCCTGCTGCGAACGCCAATGGCAATCTCTCTAGCAGGATTTCACCGGACGAAGTAGAAACAGGTTTAAGATCCACGCCCAGCCCTCGTTTTTGAGTGGGCTCTTCGGGCTTCCCGCCTTGGAAGCGCAAGCCTGAACGGAGACGCAGCCCTGGTGCCACTCTGAGCCTTAAGTGGCTGCCGAATGTCACCTCGTTTCACGTGACTTCTTGAACTGATCCCCCTCATCCAACTATTGAAGCCCGTACTCTGTGTGCGAAGCAGCAGCGGCAGAAGTCTGTCAGGCCTTGATCAGACCCGTTTGGTACGATGCATTCTTCATCCAGCATGGCCTCAAGCTGATAAAATGCAGGAGACACCTCTAGGCACCTACTATCAAAATGTGAAGTTCCCATGACTCAAAGGTGCGGGCGAACACACCTGTACCTTTGCCGGCCAATAAGTCCACAGAGTCCTCAGTCCAGAATGGAGCAGAATGTGAAAGGTTGCGCCTGAAGCTGATTTGCGCCTGATTGTCCGGAAAGTCCAAAGCGTCCCATGGGATGTTTTCGCGCCTTAAAGAATGCTGCAAGCGATAGCTGAGCTTCAGGTTATGCCTGGACGCACGCACTGGCATGCTATCATGGCAGGTCATCAGTGGCGAGGACACGCCTTCTCCAAATACCTCCTTTCACTTTCGCCGTGGCTTCCGCAAGACGCTTTCATTTGGTGCCGTTTGAAGTTTCAAAATCGAGGTTGGAGAATCAAGTATCGGAGCTGAATGAACCCTTTTATGCTCCGCGGCTTTCATTTCATACAGGCTTGTACAGCTAAAAGTCGGGGTTGACAGCCAGAATCAAAGCTTTTCACTTCACACTATCGAAATACAGCCAGAAGAGATCAGGTGGGCCTCAAACAGATAAGCAGAAACAACTGTGAATGAGAACCTCAAAAGCTTGATGAGCATCATTGAGAATCTCAACACAGTTGACTAGGACTGCCGGTGCGAAATTGCAGAATTTGGAGCTCTTGACGTTATTTGGAGTTCTTGTACATGGCGTTGTTCAAAGGCTGCAGAGACTGGAAATTACGATGTGTGGAGCTGTTCTACAGCTGCAGATCCCAGAGCTTGCAAATACTGCAAGTTGCAACAAGTAGAACTGTTCCCAGGCTGGAGATACTGCGAAGAATCTTAATCCGTGCTTGGTTACCCCTTAAATTTGTTGTGTGCCACTATGGTCAGTCTGGGAGCATCCTCCGCTGCGTCCATATGAGATCCCGCCCGGGAATGTTGCTTGCCCGGATGGTCACGGCTGGTTCTGAAGGAAATCTGACGGTTCCAATGTCCCTACCCATCCCCCAAAACAAAGCTTCGTGACGCCCAGCTCAGCTCGCCACCTTCCGGCTCTTCACAAAAACTGCAATGGACGCCGTCTGAAGTTTTGTTGAGAATTCTTGCAAATGGCGGATACTGCGCAAGTATGATCAAATATGTGAACTACAGCTCGTCTTGGAATATCTCCCGTGCTTGCTTGTCGCAATGCTTAACATGCTAGAAATTACAGCATCTGCTGGTCTTGGACTGGTTCAAATGCTGCAAACTACGGCATGTTGCTGGTCTTGCAGCGCTTCAGCTGTGGAACGCTCCAAACGCTGTAAATTACAGCATCTGCTGGTCCTGGAAAATTTTGAAAGCTGTAATTTACGGCGTCCGAGGGTTTTGCAAAGCTCCAAACCATTCTAAAAATTCGCTGCCACCTTCGTCGCTACTTACCAACTCAAACCCTAAGCCTAAACCCCAAACCAGCACGATACCAGTTTAACTCTGCTCTAAGACCTTGAGCATTGAGCTCTATCATGTTTTGCTCCTTTGCTGTTGTTACCCTGGTGTGAATTCGATGATTGGTGTTCTTATGTTGCTATTGTTTTCCGGGTGTTATTACAGCTATCATCTTACTTAGCGTTATTACTTCCAGTAATTACTCTATCATTTTTGTTGGAGCAACTGATTGTATAAAACAGTACTGACTGAAATCCAAAATCCTGCGATTTGTTGCGGAGACTTTGCAGTGCCCACATGCTGCTTCGTGCGGCAACGCACGCACAGCTTTGAAGAAAGCAGGGGTGGATGGGGAGCCGCCCAATTTGCAAACATATGCTGATTTGACTTTCCCCACATGCTGCCATGAGGCAAGCCATTGAAAAAAGGGGGGGGCTGGGGGGCAACCCAGCTTTCTCTCATGTCCAAATGTCGTGATGGGAAGCACGCAAATGCTCAAAGAAGGGGTTTGGGGACACTCGATGATTGGACGATCCGTCCTGTCAGGCATACAGTGCCCACATGCTGCCATTTGATGCAAGATGATGCAAGCATGCGCAAGTTTAAAGAAGCGAGCGGCGCAGGCCCCTCCCACTTTCAAATGTATGATGATGGGATGGTCCGTCCTTTTGCACGAGGTGTGCCTACATGCTGCTCTGTGAGGCAAGCACACGCAGCTTTAAAGAGACCAGGCCATGGGACCGACCTGACCAGAGAGAGGACCAGAGGACCATAGAACCACTCCCAATCTGAAGCCAAGAGGGACCCAGGCCACACCAGGACAGAGTGACACCTTTTCAAAGGCTGCGAAATCAATTTGGGACTTTTTTGATTTTTGTTGGTATTGTCCTGTTTTTGTGCTTCTTCTCAACAGTGGGGGTCGGGGTGGTTGAGGCGTGAGTCGGGAAAACGGAAGGCGTGAGTGGGAAAAAAAGAAGGCGCGAATCGGGAAAAAACGAAGGCATGAGTCAAAAGGAAAGGCACTCAAGCAGCTGACCTTCTGGATGCTCGGATATTCGCCTAAACTAATATCTGCACCTGGTTTTGCCTGTGTCATGTCTTCCTACTTGTCGCAACGTGAAAAGGTGGTTTTAGCATATGTCCGTACCAGACTTCCCTCTCTCAACTGTTTTCTTCTTTGCATCTCTAGCAAGCTGACAGGGAAATTTTGACACATGTGCGTATCTGGCCTTCTTCCTCCTGCTATTATGTCTTCCTACTTTTTGCAAGGTGAGAAAAGGGTATGCCTGTATTTGGTTCGCCCTCAATCATGTCTTGCTACTTATTGCATCGTGAAAAGGGGGTGGTGTGCAACATATGTCGGTACCTAGCTTTCCCTGTCATGTCCTTCTATTTCTTGCAAGGTGATAAGGGGGGGTTTTCATCATATGTTTGTACCTGGCTTTCCCTGTGTCATGTCTTTCTACTGATCGCAAGGTGAGAAAGCGGGCGGCTTTAACGTGTGTCCGTACCTGGTTTTCCGTGTATCATGTTTTCCTACTTATCGCAAGGTGAACAAGTGGGCGGATTTAACATATGTCCGTCCCTGGTATTTCCTGTATCATGTCTTCTTTCTTACCGCAAGGTGAAAAAAGGTTGGTTTTACCATATGCCTGTGCCTAACTTCCCTATGTCATGTCCTTCTACTTATCGCGAAGCGAACGAGGGGGCGGTCCTATGTCATGTCCTTCTATTTATCGCAAGGCGAACAAAAGGGGTGGTTTTTACGGATGTCTGTACCTGGCATGCTGTCCTTCCACTTATCGCAAGGTGAAAATGGGATGGTTTTCACATACGTGTGTACCTGGCTTCCCCCTTTTCATGTCTTCCTACTTGTCAAAAGGTGAAAAAAGGTTGGTTGTAACACATGCCTGCACCCCCGGCTTTGCCTGTGGCATGTCTTCCTACTTATTGCACAACGAACAGTTCTTTATACCTTTCGCAAGATGAACGGGAGTTTGACTAATGTGCTTGCCAGGCTTTCTCCCTCTCAGCTGTCATGTCTTCCTACTTATCGTAAGGTGCAAAGGGGTGGTTGTAACACATGTCTGTACCTGGTTTTCCCTATCGAAAGTGGCAAAAGGAAAAAGGTGTGGTGTTTACATATAGCTGGTTTTGCCTCTGTCGTGTTTTTCTACCTGTCGCAAGGTAAAGCTTGGGTGATTTAAGCATATGTCTGTACCTAGATTCCCCTCTGTCATGTCCTTATACTTATCGCAATGTGAAAAGGGTGGTTGTAACACATGTCTGTACCTAGCTTTCCTACTGTCATGTCCTTCGTCTTATCGCAATGCGAGAAAGAGGTGATTTGTACCTCTGTCTGTACCTGGCTTCCTATGTCATGCCTTTCTACTTATGGCAAGGTGAAAAGGGGTGGTTTTAACATATGCCTTCCCACTTGTCGCAAAGTGAAAAAGGCGGGTTACACATATGTCTGTACTTCCCTCTCTCAACTGTCTTTTCTGTTTATCTCTTGCAAAATGAAGGGGGCTTTGACGTATGTGCGTACCTGGCTTTCTCCTTCTCAGCTGTCATGCCTTCCTACTTTTCGCAAAGTGAGAAAGGGGTGGTTTTAACATGTGTCTATTCCTGGCTTTCCCTCTGTCATGTCATTCTACTCACCAGTAAGTGAAAGGAGGTGGTTTTAACGTATGTGTGCACCTGGCTTCCCTCTGTCAGCTGCCTTTTCTTTACTTCTCGCAAGGTGGAAAAAGAGTGATTTTAGCAGTTGTCCGTACCTGCTTTTCTCCTGACTCGTAAGTTTTTCCTGACTCGTGCTCTGTTTTTTTCTTGACTTGTGGTCTTTTTCCTGACTCGCGGGCGTTTTCTTGACTCGTGCCTTGTATTCTTCCCGACTCGCGGTCTTTTTCCTGACTCGTGCCTTTTGGCTTTCCTGACTCGCGGCCTTTTTCCTGACTTGCGGGCGTTTTCCTGACTCGTGCTTTTGGGTTTTCCTTACTCGTGCCTTTCTTTTTCCTGACTCGTGC